CTAGAAGTAGGCATATGAGGGCAAGAAATGGTGTTGCCACAGGGGCCCTGATGTTGGAACATCTTATCCCCAGGACAACTACTGTTTCAAACTCTGACCTCCACAACCCAAGTCCCCATCATAGAATCTGTCTAGTCTATACAATACTCAAATCGTGATTTGTGACTATAAATTTAAGATAATACTATATCTAAATTTCCCTAACCTGGGAGATGTTATATTCTAACTGAACGCCAGATAATTCTACTAAGTACAAATCTCTTCTTACTACACAAAAGATCATCCCTGGTATCCCACACGTACCTTTTCATGACATTATTCGTATCCTAGAAAGAAGGGAGAAAAACACAAGTTACGAAATCATAGACTGTCCTCTCTGACCAAGCTTCATCACATTTTCACCAGCCCCTGCTCTGCTGAGAACAGAGATGGTCACAGTGTGATGAACAAAATAGTAAAGATAAATTCAAGGGCTGGGGATATAGCTCAGTTGCTAGAGTGCTTACCTCACATGCATGAGGCTCTGGGCTCAATCCCCAGCACCACAGGAAAAAAAAAAAAGACAAATTCATGCCAGAAATTACATGGTTCCCATGAGATAATTTAAATAATATACAATTCTTTCACTTATTTAACATACACATAAACTGATATCAAACTATTATTTGCCAAGTATAAGCAGACTCTGGATAATCAAAGTTGAGTAAAAGGCTGAAAGAAAGAGGGAAATGCCAGAATTCCACGTAAGGCAAAAAAAAAAAAAAATGAAGGGAAATATATGTAATCTCAGATGAAAATGTAGAGTGTGTTGCTGGCACATGAATTTTTTTTCTTTTTTGGATATGCATTTTTTTTCTTTTTTACTGTTCACTATTTTTTTAAAATTTTTATTGTTGGTTGTTCAAAACATTACGTAGTTCTTGACATATCATATTTCACCCTTTGATTCAAGTGGGTTATGAGGATAGGATAGGCAGCAGAATACAACAGACACTAGTATGGCAATATGTAAATCAATTGATGTGTAACCGATGTGATTCTGCAATCTGTATATGGGGTAAAAATGGGAGTTCATAACCCGTTTTTTTTTTTTTTTTTTGCAGGGAATGGGCACTGGAGATTAAACCCAGAGATTTGCTTAATTAGTGAGACTGACCTTCATGGAACTTAAGTTTTTCCTGCCTCAGTCTCCAAAGAAGCTGGGGTTATGGAATGTGCCATTGTGCCTGGCACAATATTTGAGACGTTCTGCAACCTAAATTCCTTCAACAAGTGGGTCAAATTCATAGAAAAAAAATAAACTATAAAAGACTCTATAGTTCATTTCCCAAATTATTTCTTAATAATTTAGAAAAATATTATTAACAGAACAAATAAGTACTACTTGGATAACTTATAACATATGTAATATATAAATAACAATAAGATCACAAAGAAGGAGGAAGGAAATGAAGTATTTGTGCCAAGTTTCTATATTTTGCAGGAATTAAGTTAGTATTGATGTGAATCAGATTGAGACAGAATAGGGTGCATTTGTTAATCACCAGATCAAGTACTAAGATATCAAAAAATACAGCTAGGAAACCAGGAAGACTAAAGTTCTATCCTGGGATATGTTTATTTAACAAAAAAGAAGGCAGTTAAGGGAAGAAAAAGACCTAGAAACTACAGAAGAAATATAGAACACAAATAAAAAAGTGGTAAATGTAAACACAATTATATCAGTATTATATCAGTGCCTGCATTGAATACTATAGTCTCCAAATCCTTATTACAATACGGATTGTCAAATAGACTTAGAAAAGATAAAGCAAAAATAAATTGACATAAAAAGATTAACAATAGATGAAAATCAAACAAAAAATAGATGTTCTTTAAGAGTTAAAAAATCCACCATTGTATGTATGTTAAAAAAAAAAAAGAGTTTAAAAAGGTGGACAACTGTAACTAAATTGATCAAAGAAAGAAAAATTTAAAAGCCAGGTGCAGTGGCACATGTCCACATAATCCYAGCAGCTTGGTATGGTGAGGCAGGAGAATCACCAGTTCAAAGCCAGCCTCAGCAATTCAGTGAGGCCATAGGAAACTTAGTGAGACACTGACTCATAATTCAAGGATGCTTCA